TACTGTCTGCACTGTTATACTCTGCTCTTGATATATTTAATCTCTATATGTGAGATTCAGCAGATTATCTAGTTTAGTCTGAAGATGCTGTATATAATAATGAAATCAGCTGTTATTATATAAATCATAGTTTAAATTCAGCTAATTCTTGATATTAATAAACGGCTTCAGTAAGATCTTCTCATGATTGATTCTTTAATCTCTGTATTACTATTTTACTGTGATATATCTTCAAGAAATGCTATATAAGATGCAACTACTCTCATCTTTTCTTTATCAATATTCATCATAATCTTCTTACAATTTAATATAGATAAGTCATGCAATAATGCAGTGACAGTATCAGAGAAATTAATATTATAAGAATCAAAGATTAGAATAAAAATATTATTTCACTTTAAATGCTCAACAGCACTTAGTGTAGAAATTATGTAAAAACTCATCAAGCTTTAATACATGTTTCAATATAAATCAAATTCATTAATGAACAATTGATATGATAGAGAAATAACTTGTATATCAGAGTAAAATATACTTTTCAAAATATCTTATTTATTTGCAGCAATTTTTAACTCAGTCTGAATTAGTGAAGATTTATAATATAATTATATCTCAACAGCTTCAGTCTTGATTCTTATAATCTGATAAAGAAAATACTGATCTTTACTCTTATATTTCACTGATAGATTGAAATCTGATTCAAATATTATATTTATATGAATATCAAGTTGATTCAGAACCTGAATAATTGAGATATATTTTATCTCATCTTTCATTATAATTAATTCAAATGAGACAAATGATGAATTCAAGAATAATAATCTTTATACTATCTGAAGAGTATGATAAATAACTTCTTGAACTTTTAGAACTATTATATGAGACCTCATTTTCATGTCTAAATATCAGTGATTATATCTGATAAAATGCACTCTCTTAATATAAGATATATTATTCAATCTCAATTTACAGTAGCATTCAAGATTCCCACACTGATACTGAATAAAATGAAAAGAAAAAAGTGGTTTATTTATTAATAAATATTATACAAAGTCACTGAAATAATATTTGATAGAGCTCTCTCAACTGTGAGATTGTCATAACTTAGTAAGATTGTTAACAAGTTTCATCATTTTTATATGCATCTATCACTGAAAATTTGAGGATTTGAGAAGAGCAGATATTAATGAAATTGAATTTTAAAAGTAGAGTAATCTCATAAAGAATACAGTGAGATTTTTCTGAGCAGAACTCAGAGTTGATATTTACATTGATGATACTATTGAAATTAACATTTTCTTAACTGATAAAATCAGAAATTATGCTCTGCATTGCTTTTTCAGAGTTAATAGGCCTTTGAGAAGCAGACTTATCAGTGATGTATTCTTCAACAAATGCAGAATTTACAGCAGTGATTGATAGTTTTTTCAGAAAATATCTGACTCTTCAGCTCAGAGTCTTATTATTAAAACAAATGAATTCATTTCAAAGTTACTGTATTTATAAGCTATATCAATTACTGAATCAGAATTAATAAATTCATCAGTAGAATGAGAGATAGTAGTAATATCTTCAATAGCAGTATCTTTCATAGTAATATCTTCAGCAACTGACTTGTCAGAATCTTCTTAATCATCATTTTCTAAGATATTTTTCAGAATATTCTCCAGAATATTCTCCTCAGTATCTGCTTTCAAAAGCCACTCTATATACTTAATATTATCAGCAGCATTCTTGTTATATGACTCTGTCTTTAGACATGTTAGTTTTATATATAGACATTAAAGTGATAAATATACTGAGATAGCATGCTTCTTCATCAGAACATCATTATCTGAATC